CCCTCCAATCGCTAAACTCTTGTGAAGACATTAAATACTTTTTGCTATATCCAGTCTGAAAGTTGAACATCTGAAAGTAAAAGTCACAGTGTCGTATAGGTACAGGTTTATAGGGTAGATACAGGTTTGTAGGGTAGATGCAGGTTTGTAGGGTAGGTACAGGTTTTTAGGGTAGGTGCAGGTTTATAGAGTAGGTACAGGTTTATAGGGTAGGTACAGGTTTTTAGGATAGGTACAAGTGTGTAGTTTTGGTCACTGCTTAAACAAATCCAACTGGACATTGCATCCAGTACTTTGTGTGGCTTTTTCACCTGTTCACTATTTCCAAGACGTTGCAGATTTAATAATGTAGATCTAAATTAAATGTGTAAGATGCTGAGAACTATGACTATGTACAGATTGTAAATAATTTTAAATATATCTAGCATCTGACTTGTTTTTTTTTATTTATTTTTTTTTAACTTAAGTTTATTTAAAATCTGAGGTCAGAGGTGACTTCAATCAGAAACTAATACAAATATTCTATGAAGACATAAAAGAAAGTTAGAGAGGATTAATTAATGCTTCATCCCTCACAGCATTATTGTTTCCTCACCCACCAGTGTGTGTGTGCACATCTGTTTGCAATCATTGGGTGTTGGCAGCTGTTCAGTGTCAAGCTACCAGCTGTTGATCTGATTGTAACACAGGCCAAGCTCCTCAAGTGGTTGTTCCTGTGGAATCAATAGTTTCATCCTGAGCATAGTCCATCTACTACTGCTGCTGTTACTGCTGCTGTTATATATTTTTTTTTATGTTGCTATGTCATTCAAACATGATGGCCTTGCAGTTTTAAAAATCCAATAGTTTGATATGGAGCAGAGGGAAGGGGGGGGGGGGTGTCCTCTTTAGGTTTGCCTTAGTGCAGTGTTTCCCCAACATGGAATGATTGCACACCATCGGGGGGGGGGGGGCGCAAGATGACATTGGGGATTTTGAGGGGAAGAGATTATAAGAACAGGGGTCGGGAGAGAATAACATTGTAGTTACGATTTAATGTTTATATATTTGGTAAAAAATTTCTTCATTAACAGTTTTCTCTACGTCAAGTGATCACAAATTTATGTACTATAGTTCTCTTTGTAATGATAACAATAAATTAGCAGTCCATTATTTTGTTTAGTTAAGTGTAACTTTTATAGGTGGTGCAAGACTTGGTAAAATAATTTTTAGGGCACGCGGAGTAAAGAAAATATTGGGAAACATTGCCTTAATGAATTTTTGTTAGCGCCTGCACAGAATTTATCTTATAGAATTAACATTTATTGAATAGAATTGAGTATGTCTCAGGAGAAGTCCAAAGCTGGAAATAGTTTTCTGTTTTCTCTGTTATTTTTCAGTGGTTTTCTGCTGAACTTGGGTTTTGTTGCTAAAATTTCTCATTTATTTAGAGACCATGTTTAATCACATACAAAGTTGGTTGCACAGGATATTTTACCTCAGGCTTGCCCCAAAATTGTTGCCTTGCTTGGCGGATGAGTCCATTCCAGCCGAGCTTAGATGAAATCAAACCTTCCCCTTTTGGTCGTGAGCCGACATTTTACCATTGCCCCAGGACAGCAGTGTTAATGCTAATACACTGAGCTGCTGTAGAACCTTGGGTAACTTAAGCATGCCTGCCTAATCCCAACTATTTTTCTTTCTCTAGTAATTTAATACAACATTTCCTGAAGATTTGAAATGGACTGTCCAATCTGTTCTTTAACATTAAAAATGACGATATCATTGTGAACTTGTAATTTTATCATTGCATTAGTCTGGATTGACACAAACTAATTTGTTTTAATTAGAACAATCATAGTGGATCAATTAGTACTTGAATGTTTTCACAAAAGTTTGGATCTCAAAACCCAATCTAGTTATAATGTATTTGGTGTAGGCAGATAGTTACATCTATGATATAATATAATCAGTGATTGTTTTTGTTGTGCTTTTACAGATGTTTGCTCTTTCTGTTTAACTTGCAGTGCTCCCTGCTTGTAATTGCATTTTTCATCACTCTACTGATAACTTAAAGGCATGTTGAATTACTCTAATTAATATGTATCATCATAGTTTATGACAGATAACTGTATGGATGTTACCTGTACTGAAAATGTTGAACTATCTGAATCCATCAGCCAAAGAATACCTGTGTCACATCAAGATCTTCTTGTCAGTGTGCATTTAACTTGATGCAAACATCTCATTCTTTCTCTACAGAAATTTGTTTAATAACCATGATTTTAAAAAAAAAATTGATTTTAAAATCATAGACTAGGTCAAAGGGAAGTAATCTGATCCAATGTAACTAAAAAGGTCTTCACTATGGTTACTTTTGGCTGCTAGTCATGCTTATCAGTTGTTTGCATTTAAAAGCCTTACAAATTTTGACAGTGTTAATGGCCACCTTCCGTAACGTGTCCTTTTGGACTTTTTTTGTGTGGTTTGTAGGGGTTTATTGGGAGGGGTCATCTAGGACAGTGGTCTCCAAATGGCGGTCCATGGACCTTCACCGGTCCGCATGCCTCACGCTGCCGGTCCCCATAACATTAATATTTATTGTCAAATAGAAATAAAAGTATAAAAATAAATCATGCACCGGTCCCTGGTAAAATTTCGAAACTTGTTCACCGGTCCGCCAAACTTAAACTTTTGGGAACCACTGATCTAGAAGGTCAAAGTTGACAGTTTTTTATTTTTAAATTGAATCCACCATCCTCACTCATGCCTAAAGATTATTTATTCTTATGAAATTATTTACATTGCATTCAACATTGGACTCATAGATTTTACTGCAGAGAACCTGAAAGACGGCTGTGTAAAATTCGTAGCGGTATTTTTAGTCTTAATACATAATTTCCCCTTTGGGTTTTATGGAAAGTCATTACTTCATAAAGTCCATGAGGAAATCTAAATAATTGTTGGAATGTTTCAAACTGTTTCAGCTTTACACTTGACTCATTATTGAATTGTGTTAACTTATGAAAAATCTTTCTTGTTATTGAAAACAAATTGTACATACAAAATATACAGATTTATTAGAACTATTAACTCAGGTTTTTCGGGTTAATTTATGTTTAAATATTTGTAATGTTATCTACACAACCAAATAATTTTTAAAAATAGATTTATCAAAACGTGGTCTCATTCTTATTTTTAGTTTATTTTAGAAACCAGGTAATTCAACATCCCCATCTGCCATCTTGTAAAACAAATCTTTGGCCCCTTTAAAACAAAAAAAAATGCTTGAAGTTGTATTTCTTCTGTAATTTTAACCATCTAAACATAGATGAAACTTGTCTGTTTTACTCCTTTAAAATGGAAACTTGGTTCTATTTAAAACTCTTCAGCAGGTCTCCTATTCTGACATGACCAGGCAAACTTGTTTAAGTTGACTCAGGTATTCTAATTTATGTGTCAGCCTCATGTCCCCCATCAGACAGCTAGCTATAAATTAACAGAGTTAAGAGGTGCACAAAATTTAACTCCCAGTTCAACTTTGCCACTGGGTAGTTCAATATTCAACGTTCTATAAATAAAGAACAATGACTTTTAACTCCCAGCTGATGGTTTTGCTTATAACCACACAGTGATACATAATCTTAATTTCTAAGCTATAACAAATATATATAACTTAGATATCCTTTGGGAGAGTTGTTGACATGGCTAGGGGCCATCTAATAACTCAATTTCATTGTCGTTCTACGTTCATACTGTATTTTCTTTACTCATCCCCACATTTTTACATCATTACAAAAGGTGTGTTATTTATATTTCTCATAATGGTTTCTAATTTCATTCTATCTCTAATGTAACGGCATCCCAAATTATATTTTTAATAAAATGGTAACAGACCATTTTGCTATTTTTTTATTTTTTTTTCATTTTAATTTTTAAAAATAAAATCTCTATTTTATGTCAACTGAGAGTGGTTTTAAAAAAGTCCAAGTCAGGTCCACCTAAGATTGTACATAATATTATTTAACTGAAAACTATTACCGTATTTATTGAAGTATAACACTCACTTTTTCTCCCCGAAAATAGGGGGCAAATCATGTGTGAGTGTTACACGCCGCCGATATAATGTTTATTTTTTTTTCTGAAATTTCCTTCTTAAATTGAGTTGCGTGTTATACACCAATAAATATGGTACTTTGTATGCTAAGACTAAGACTATCAGTAGGCCTAAATGGTCTTTCTTTTCTTCATTGCACATAAATTATTGGTCTGNGGGGGGGGGGGGGGGGGGGGGGGGGGGGGTGTGTGTGTGTGTGTGTTATACGCCAATAGACACAGTATTTCATTGTGCATAATTATCATACTTTTTTTTATAACTTTATGAAAGTATGGGTGTCCACAGCCACCACTCATTTGTTAGCTACACAATATTCTTTATGGCCAATCATATCTTATATTTAAATAAATTGTGTTCTTTTTATCCTTCCTTTTTTTTTCCATCATGTAAATTATTAGAGGTAAAGGAAAGCTAGTTAACAATGTACCAGCTTTATACAATGAGAGATTGGGGTTGTCCTGATAATTTCTTGCAAGATATTGAGGTTAGGACAGCCTAAGTCTTGATCACATCAGTCTACAGGTTCTCAAATAGAGATAAGGAGATTAAACATTGTTTTTAACTTGTCTCTTTGCCTTCCTGTTTTTAGTTTTAAGTTGAAGAAGTTATTTTGCAATTGATTAATTTTGTTATTTTTTTTGTTTCATGTCAATGTCTTTAAAATTATAATATACTATTTAAAACAAATTAAATTGTTTCATTGCGCTTAATTACCATGATAAAAAATGACTTGTATGTTGATTTAATAATTTTAAAAAAAAAACGAAAGTGTTAGTTTTTAAGCTTGCACACATGAGCACAATTTTATCAAAATTTGGAGCTGTATTTTGAAAACAAACAATGAAATTGAGCTTAGACATGGAAAACATAGCGACAACAAAACAAATTATAAAGTTTAACACAATTTAAGTATTCTCTACATTTATTTCATGTTATAACAGAAAAATTTTAATTTATAAAATTTTTGAAACACTTTAAATATCTAATACCAATATACATATCTATCCCACTGGGTAATAATTAGTTTAAAAACCTGACTTTTTTTTTGTATTCACAAAGAACATTCAAGATAATGCTAGAATTTATTGACTAAAATGATTCAGAACATTTTCTCTTGTTTTAGCAAGACACTAAAAAAATGTCAGAGTGTGAGAAGAATGAACCTATTATATACCAATGACATGCCAGACTTTTCTTTGTCAAAATATTGACATTCCACACCACACAAGTACAAAATCAATAGCCCCCTGGCAGAGCTGCTGCAAATTACACTAATTTTTAGCTTCCTGAAGTTGTTAACCTAGAACGACAAAAGATGAGATTTCGTTTTTAAACCTCGTCCTGAGAGCTTACGATAAACATAGGGGAAAATATCTTCTAGTCCGGAGACAATAGCAAATGATTACACAGGGAAAAATATTAAGTATACAATATGAAGATATGACAGAAGCTGTTCAAACTTTAAAAACCACATTAAGAGTTTTTCAATCTGTAAACTTGACATCAATTTTAGAGCAGGGATCTATTACAGGATTGCTAATAAAAACTAATTTTACAAATTGGCTATGAGTTCCCTAAGTTTTAAATTATAGATAAAATGTGCAAAATGTATTTTGTGCCATGTACCCTTTTTTGATTACCTCTCTTCTACCTATTGAATCTGATAAATTACAAATCAACTGTTTCAGTAAAAGAAAAATGAAATAGAGAAGGTAAGAAACATAAAATGCACAAAAAATTAACAAATTTAAAAAAAAAAAGAAATTTTCATCACATAGAATACATAAAAAACAAGCCAATTACATTTTATTCTCAAAACAATACACCTTCTAAATAGATTATGTGTTGGAGAGTGGAATTAAGACAAGCAAAATAAAATTGACATAGTGTTGAATTTATGTCTGAAGGCAAGATTTAAAACTAAACAGTTCCTGAAGAAAAAGGTAACAATAATTTTTTTTTTTTTAAATGGCAACAACAATTTGGAATTGTTAACCTTACAAGCTCCTTTAAATTAAATTTTAGTCCATTACAAAACTCTCAACAAATGTAAATGAAATTAATTTTAAAATAAATTTGCATTTTACTTTTAAAAATAGGTCCCATAATAAATCAGATTAAAGATAAAATAAGCACAGCAAATATTTTAAAAGCCATTACAAAAAACATTTTTTAAAAATCCCTTTGAAAGAACAAATTCGCATCAACTACATCAATTCAGTGTTGAAACACTTAATGGTTGTCCCGCAGAGAGTTGAGCTGCTGGGTGGCCTTTGCCTTGATGGCATCCAATGTGGCACCAATATCACCATTGTGCTCGATGAGCAGGTCAGACAGCCAATTGTCTGTGTTGGAAAAACCCATCAGAATCATCTGGTCAAGACTTTGTTGAATTTGCAGATCTGAAATTTAAAAAAAAAGTTTTATTATTATTATTTAAATGAAAGAGCCATGTAATATTTTATTTGATTAAGTGCAGTAACTTATCGTTTCACCACAAGGGCTTTCTCCTTTAAATGAGAACCAAATAGAAATATTTAGATTGATTCTGCAGTGAAATCCCACTGACTCTTTGCAGTATCAAGGTGTAAATGAGTGATGCAAAAAAAACAACAAAAAATACTCACTAGGATAGATGTTGGTCTTTGGTGCAGTGCTGGCCTGTGTCTCCTGGGGACCTGTGCTTGAGGCTGGAGCAGAATAGGTAGGGGGGTCTTGGGCTGGGTATCCAGAGGGTGCAGGCATAGGGATAGGGGTGGTGGAGGTAAATGCATACGGCATCACATTGATTGGATCCTCAGGGGCTATGAATGTCCATTCATCACCAGTGTGTTCTTCAGGCTGGTGGAGGAAGGAGACATGGGATGACATATTTGTAAATGGGTTTGAGCTTGGTGCAATTATTCCTTACTTCAACCTCAAAAGTAACCATTTTATTTTTAAAAATCAACAAGATACGTGAAAAAAAAATGGATTGGAACTGAAAAAAAAAAGAGAAGACTTTAGTTATCGTTAGGCATAGTAATGTAACATATTACCTTTTAAAGTTTTAGACTGCCTTTGCCTCTGATGGATATTGAAAAAAAAAAGGGAATATGGAACAAAGTAATTTCAATTTATATAAATATAAGAGTATATTATTACCATTTTAGCATCTGGCATTGGTATTTTGTGGTTTCCCTCTCTTGGGGCAGCTTCTCCTCCATCTGTCTCCATGCCTTGGGTGCCCTTCTCTTTGGCATCTGGTGCTTTTTGAGCCTCCGCACCGTTCTCTTGCTGGGATCTTTGTCTCATATTCTCCCAGGCTGGGCATCTAGCGCCTCCTCTTCCCCAAGCAGAATGGCAACCTCCACGAGAGAAGCCTCCTCGAGCGAAGCCTCCATGAGGAAAGCCTTGAGGTCCATGAGGAAAGCCTTGAGGTCCATGAGGAAAGCCTTGAGGTCCATGATGTACATCATAAGATACATCAATACCTGAAATCAAAGCATGGCTTTATTTCATGTGAAGGACAATATTTCTCTTCCTATCAAAACTATAATGTTCATCACAGATTCATTTACAGTGATTGAATGAAAAAACAAAATGGCAATTTTCAAATTAACTAAAAGTTAAAGACTGAAAAAATAATAAGCAGAAAAAACTTATTCTAAACTGTAAAGAATGTTTTAATTGAATATATAAGAACAAAATACCATCTAGAGGTGAAATTTATTAAATTTAATTAACCATGGAAATATAAAAAAAGGTACAGTACCCTAACTCAATATTCTATAAAGAAACTTTTATTTTAAATTACGAAATTTTATTTTAAATGTTTAAACAAAAAAAAAGTATTGACATTACCAAAAGGGTCCAAGAAAGCTGCAATATTTGCACCAACACTGTTCAAATATTCATCCCTGGCTTTCTCTCTGTCCTCCTGACTGCCAGTCTCAGCACTGGCACTGGCTCCACCGCCACAACCAGGAAAACTGGGTCCGGCAGGTCCCATGCCCCGCATGCATCTTTGAATGTATCGGTTCAAATGTGGGGGGAAGAAGCTCTGCAATGGTAAACAAGATTTTTTTAAAATCACTTTGATAATTAAAGAAAAGCCTTGAAAAATATCTATTACAAAATTTGTTAATGTAGAATACTAACATTAAAATCAGGGTGTAAAAAACAATTTAAAGCCCACTAAGTAATACCAAAATTTACTTACAAATCAAGATTTTTACACGTTTTATTTATTTCTATCTAACCCTTTAATCTCAAAAGAAATATTTATTTCATTTTGATGTTGGAATTTTACAAAAGGAAATCCTAGTTTCAGTTAGGGCACAGAGAATAAACAATTTTAGGAACCACTTATTTATTAAATGAAACTCCAAACAAGTACATATAATGAAGACACCATTGAATCAAAATATCTATCAGTCAAATTATTTGGACAGTGCCTATCTTACCATTGGGTTGACCCTTGGTGTAGTTATCTTGAACATGTCATGCTCAGTGTGCTTTCCTTTTCCTTCGCAAGCCTCACACAGGTCATAGTCAGGGCACACACAGCACTTATAACGAATGCCAACCACAGGTCCTTCACACCCGTCACAAGTTACACCAATGTGTAATGGTCCTTCTGGTTTTTGACCTTGCTTGGGCGCCTGATCTTGTTGCTGAGAGCCACCTTCAGCTGGTTCAGCCTGGGGGTTTGACTTCGGCTGTTGTGGTGGTTGCTGGGGTCGAAGTGGGACAGCAGCTGGTTCAGACTGATCCATGGGTTCTAAAGATAACAATAAATATTACTTTTAATTCAAGTAAAATAAAACATTTAATAAATTTGGTAACCTTTTTACATTATAAACTTCTTTCAAATTAACGTAACTTTTTAACATTATTAACTTGTTTTAAACAATTAAATGTTCCAAAAATTTAGTTCATATTTTTACTCATTGCAAAGATTGTAATGATTTAAAGATTTAAAAAAAAAGAAATTTACCTTGAATGTATACACGAAGAACTCCATCATTAACATAAGTGATAGCATCCTTCATTTCTTCAGTTGTTGAAAAAGATATTTTATCTCCATCTGGATCTGTAATTAACAAATTTAAACTATTATATTCATTTAAAATAAATTCCTGCATTTAAATAAAACTACAGAGAGAGATGTATATATTTAAATATAAAGCATGCAGCCAGTAGTCACTCCTATTTAAATGATAGAAGATGGGCACCAAACAATTGTTCAGTACACTATTACAATAATTCACAAGTTTGGTGAAAAATACCAATATAAATCTGCCAAAGGTCAAACTAAAAATAGAAGAAAACTAGTTCAGATTCATAGCTGTTTTGATATTGCTCACCTTGCCAGAATAGACTGAAGTTTCCACTGGACAAAGCAGGATAAAGCTGCATAATTTTATCCTTGGTGTCTTTGAAATAATCTTTTCCTGATGAAATATCTACAGGAAACCTGCGAATCTCATTTGGCCCATTGGCCCGCTCAAAAAACACTTTCACTGTTAGGGTCATCCTTGTTGTTGATCTGTAATTTGCAAATAAAAGTGAAATTGAACTGTCTCACTAAATTATTTTACTTTCAAGCCCAAGGAATCTGAACAAAAGACATAAAAACATATTTAACTTGTAACTTTTATTACAAGTAGAAGACTGAATGGTCCACTAAAACTTAATAATAAGTATATAATAGAGTCATAAAATAAAGGCCATTATCATTATGTCGATTGTTTATAATCTTTTTAAGTATTAACAAATTAACTTGATATCGCCATTTCCGAGGAACCTAAGTCTGCCTAAGACTATGAAACTAACTTGCTTTAAGGATGAACAAAATTATTAGTAATATTTGGTGTTAATAAAGAATTATGATATAAATTAAGGCAGTGTCTACACGTCCTACGACCAGAAAATATATTGCATAAGATATTCATCCGACGGGCATGTCACACCTTATTTAACATTGTCACATTTTAAACCTTTTTTCATTATATATACCAGCAATGGTACTAGTGTTTCTTTTGTAGAATTGAACATATTTCTTTTTCATGTCAATGTTCAGACCATCTTGAATTGGTTGAAATGATGTACCGTAAACTCTGTTCAACTATTAGCTGTTACATGACGAGGCTGATGGACAAATATCTCGCGCAACTTTGTAACGGCTGCCATGTGACTTGGTCGAATATATAATAGCCGGACGAATATCTCGGTCGCCGGACATGTAGACACTTCGATAAATTAATGGGTTATTGATTACTTGCTGTCCAGTCATTAGATTATATAATCTCAATTCTGTTTGATTGATGAAGTGTCAGTTCAATAAAAATGAGGATGAGGTGTTGATAAAACTTACTCTTTTACAAATGTCAACAAAATTTGTTGACTTGAAGTGCTGTGGCTAAGGTTATTTGTAGTAAACTACCATGCAAATACACCCTTTCACTTTCAGTGTTATCAACACCCTCATCAATATTTAAATTGAACTGACACTTAAAACAGAGTCAGAATCAAGATTATATTATACTATACTTATACATCTTAATCTTACGAACTTACTAATAGTAATATTTAAAAAAGCTATTGCTAGTTAGTAGTATTGCTATTAATATTAATTATAAGTATTAATAAATCATCAACAATTAATATTACTAATAAAAAAAAATATTTACTATTCTGTTAAATAATTAGTAGTCTTAGTCACTCTTACTCTTACACTTAGTAATTTGTATTTATAGTATTTTTTAAAGTCATAACAATAACATTAGTGGCGTAAGTCATAAATTTAACTCTAGGCTCTAGGCCTATGGTAGCCATCTAATTGACTTCTAAATTCTAATTAACTTTCCTGGTCCTGGTAAATTTGAACTAGATTCTACTACTACTACTAGTAGAGTTAAACAGGATTGTTAGTTAGTAAGTCTTTAAGTCTACTATTTCCATTTATTTGGATCAATAAAAATAAAAGAATCTTAATTATAGTCTATAGTTTATAGTGTATAAGTATAGTCTTATCTTATCAGTCTTATCTCACTATTAGTTTAGATCATCAATATTATCATTAAAATTAAGTAGACATTGAATCTCATAGTAATAGTAAAGTACTAGTACTTATATCATAAAGACGTTGTTATTGTTCAAACTTTGTTATACTTTACGGAGTGAGTAAGTTACTACTACTGCGTCTACTCAGTTGTCTTTTATTATTATTACTATTACTACTAGTATTAGTTATTTATAATAGTCTTAGTACCAGTATTTTAGGCCTGAGTAAGAGTAAGACTAGGAAGACGCAGACTTAGTAAGAGTAGTAAGGTATACCGAGTAGTAATACTATTACTTAGTATTAATATTAATTATAATTAATTCTACTTTCTACAGTCCAGACAGTCTGTCTAATGACATTGACATACTGTCTGAGTCTGTTTAAATTTAATGCAAGTAGTTTACACTTACCAACTTGGTGTTAAACTAAATTCTCAAATGAAGATATGTGTCCAAGTCGCTTAGTTGTCGAAATTGTGTAACTTCTCTACCCTGTGTTGCCAAAATTGGATTACTAAATCTTGGTTCTCTACTGTTTGGTAAGACTTGGTTAGCTTAGCTTATATATACCTGCGTAGCCGCCTCTCGATGGTTCTACTGCCCAATGGCTGCGCTCTTGTCGCTGAATCATGTCACATGACGTTTTTGTAAATAAACAGTGTCATTTTCTAAAAATAGAGGATAGTTTGCCTGTTAAGAAACAAACATTCATTAAGTTAGTTTATTCATAATAATTAATTTAGTTAAAATTTCAAAGAAAAAATATTAAAAAACTAAGTTAAAATAAATTAAATTTAAGAAGATCAAAAAATTGTGGCTATTTTATTTTAGTTCGAACTATTTTTATTACTATTTTGTATTCATTTCTGAATAAATCTGGGCAGAAGTTAGTTTTTCGATTTTGTAATGTAATAACTGATGATGCTTGATAACTATGACGATTCCAATTCCAAGTTTAGCAAATCGTCTATTTTATATTGTCATCCTTGCCCCCAAAAGTCCCGATGCTATGAGGCATTTAATTATAAGAATGTTTAAAATTAGGTATATGCAACAATCTTGAATAGTAATAGCCTATTAATAATTTATTATAAATGTTACGGTTTGTTAAGTTAAGTTTGTTTGCACTTTTTAACTTTATGAATTTATTATATATTATAATTTTCATTTATTTACATTAAACTAATTATTCATCATTTATTACTACTATTAGGCTTTGATTGATTGCACAATATGGGAACACCAGCCCCATCTCAATTATTATTACCAGTATATTATATGCACAATATGGGAACACCAGCCTCATCTCAATTATTATCACCAGTAGGCCTATATTATATTTATATCTTATATATATTAATAATATCATTTTATTGAGATGCACAGTAGGCCCTACATGCCCTACATACATTTTACATTAGCCTAAAGTCTACATACAATATACACTATTGTACAGACATTTAAAATTCTTAAAATAAGTTAAAATATATCAAATTTAAAATTGAAAGAATGTTTCCCCAGAGAGGGTGAAAATAAAATTATTGTTACTAACAAGTCAGATGCCTATTGAGGGATTAAATCAGCACAAATCTTGAGTATGAATGAAGGCCACATTTTATCATAAACATTATGGGGTTTTGTATTTGAAAAATTAAGCTAGTGTACATTTACTTAAAAGCCAATTTAAAAAAAAAAAATTAAACTTCTTTGTGAAATCAATTAAGTCATTTTTTATGATTGTGCCCAGGGTTGTGCTAAAGAAAAGCTGTACCCACCAGGGCAGCCGTGGCGCTCACCCACACCCCTTAGTTTATCAGTAAAAGATATATTATTATAATTATAGTCCTGGGCATATATATATATATATATATATATATATATATATATATATATATATATATATATATATATATATATATTTATATACGCACTCACACACACTTATTTATATAAAAAAAATATATATATTTATATATATAGATATGTATATATATATATATATATATATATATATATATATATATATATATATATATATATATATATACCGGTATATAAATTGCTACACATCATAGAGGGCGCTGCAAAGGATTTTAGGCCACAAGGAAATCCAGAGTTTGGGCCCCCACAAATTTCAAAATAATTGTAATTGTTAATTATACCCGGTACCATCATATCAAGTGATCAATTTCCGCCCAAAGTGACTTAACTGGGTTTCCCGGCCTCTGCACAGAGATGATGGTATTGTTATAGGCATATGTGTGTGTATGGTTGAGTTACAATTTTGGCGCCAGCTTGATGTCGGCGCCCGGGGTAGCTTTCCTACCCCTTTTTTTCGCGCAAGCCTGACTGTCAGTGGTTATTGTAATGAAAGAAATAGTAATAAGTAAGGTATTTTTCATGATATGGGGAATTGTGTCTTTCGTGTGCTTTAATATTAATACTAAACGGGGGATAAAGTTTAAAGTGGAATTGTCGATAATATTTTTAATGCCTAGCGTTAATGAAATCTTTCGTGATAGACATGTTTTTTTTTGTTTTTTTTTAATAACGGTAATAATTTTAATAATCATTCATATTCATATTGAAGAAACTATGACTCTTTAATTTTAGTACCCGGTACCGTAGTTTAGAAATCGTATGATGAAATCAAGTGACTGAAATTAGAAGAATTGACGAACGAGCCGATGACATTTCAGAAATGAGAAGACAGACCATCTGGAAATTTCCACTCTAATATCGAAGGTCGTTTAACCCCCCCCCCCCCCCCCCCCCCCCCCCCTTTTCTTTTTTTTCCC